CAAGCCAAGTTTCTCCCATTCTCTGGCCTTTTTTTGACAACTTCGATTGTCCACTTCGGAATGGTCGAAAGTTCACTCTTCTTCGAGGATATGAGGCAAAGCCTTAATGACTTATATTGTGGCATGACGATCCATTTCGAGGGAAAAGTTGGTTGGACTGAATTCGTGAAATCAAAAGAGGATTGCTTCCGAGTCTGGTGACGGCTATCACACCTCAAATGCCACTAACATGAGATACACACAATTGGCAATGGTAGATGCCTGAGGATGGGTCAACATTAGAGGAGCGGATGTAAAGAAACGGGTTCCACAGAACCCACCTCGTGCATGAATTTGCTTCACATGTCGAGTATGTTTGAGTTATGTGAAATGTGAAATGTGAAATTCGTGAGGACCTTCACCAACCGTCCTTCATCATCTTAAACGAAATAGGGTGAACACAATTCATATAATTGATCTACCGGTACGCTACTTATCAACGAAAAATAAGTGTACGTTTGCCAACCAACTCATGGGCTGTCTCATTAAGATCGGAGTGTGTTGTTGGTGTTTAATAAGAGGGGGTAACGACAGCTGACCAGTGGAGCAATGGGGCGAGTGTAAGTCAGTCTGGGTAGTCTCGAAAACTTACTCATTTATTGAAAATACTCTTGAGCACTCTGAATGCCACGTGCTGATTGGTTCGATGGAGAGATTCGATGCGGTTGCTAGGTTGGCATAGTCCCGCGGAACACAGTGCCGAGGAGTCCTGCTCCGCCAAGTGTGGCATGAGTTATGAGGCAACTGAGACATGCAGTCAAAGTGATGGTGGACTCAAGTCACTAAAGCAGTGGGTCGACCTCGCTGTCGCAACTTGGTCTTGTTGTCAGGGCGACTTGGTAGAACGAGCCTTTTCCGAAATCGTCTCTCAGAGTAGTTGTCATTATTCCCAGCATCTGAAAGTGAACGTTTCGCCATTCTCCGCACCAACCTACGAACTCGTGAAAAAGAAAAGTGAAGTCAATCACTCGACAAACTTTCTGGCGAAAACGGTTATACTTTCACTACTCTTTCTCTCCTGGCCTATCTATACACTCTTTACCCACCATCATGGTATTTATATCTTCAATTAAAGTCACTAAATTTGTACAAAAAAGCGGAAGGATTGGTGGCCGGCAACCTTTTTTTCTTTGTCCATTATATTATTGCTCCATTTCGTAAAGTATGTATTCTCGCTCTGATTATGTCCATCACGGGGGTACAGAAGAAAGCGGTTGCAGGACTTCTTCATACAATACAACAGTCTTCCCTACGCGGCAACACTCCTTTGGTTTGCTGTGAGACCACATCACGAATTCCTTTCAACCAACTTTGCTTTCGAGTTGGAAAGTCATGTCACAATAACTCACTCCTCTTGTCGATCCCGCCCAAATCGAATGTTCTACCCACTTCTGTGTGTGTGTATGTGTGTGTAAGGCATTCCACGAGCCACCACTCACTTCACAAACACTGATACTCATGCGCGCACACACACACAAACACTTAATACGTGTCGCGCCCCCAATCCCCTTGGTTGCCACATCCGAACGGATCTGAAATAGATTTAGATCGTGAACTCAACACTTCTAACCTTTTATCATTCTGACGTTTATGATCCTTCATTTCTACATCACCAAGTGGAACCATACCGACACATTTTTGAAGCTGATTCTAGGCTTGACCAGTTTCATTGCAATTGCCTTCTCTGGGCTTCCAGTTGTCCCTCAACATCCTCTTCCTCTTTTTCAATAAATGCCCTTGGTCCAGGTCGCTCCTTAGAACTGTCCTTGCTGGATCCAAAATTTCCCCAAGTCTGCCCAAACAGTAAACGAAATTCTCTCTCTAAGTCTCCATTAGGTTTCCTCGAAAGAGGATTTCCATGGCGCCCACAACTTCTTTCCCCTAAATTTCAGTGCTATCCCCACTTAAGGCCAGTCGTTAAGTTGCATTCCAGGCCATCGTATGATCGGTCAGGACAATGTGTTCTTTACTCCTCGTGCTGGTCGTCCTTT